TCACAGGAAGTCGGAAGTGATGTCGTGCTGGACAAGAATCAGAGTCCGAATAACATTTTTTCATATTCGGACTCGAGTCCGAATAGTCACTTCGATTCTCATCCGGGGTGAGAATAGAGAGGTGGCCCACACAAAAACACGCGCGCAGACACACACTTCCACGCAAGCGTGCCCACAATTACACACACAAATGCGTGCACACACACACACGCACGCACACACACAGCCCAAGCAGTCGGCGATGAAACCTAAATCTAGATCTAGATTCTAGATGTAGTGGGTAGCCCGTCGTGCGCTTAAGCGGCAAAGCAAGCCCGCAACGGTGAAGTCTAGAGTCTAGATATATATAGATCTAGAATCTAGTTATAGATCTAGATCTAGATCTAGTTATAGATCTAAATCTGGAAGGACTTCCGAAACGAGCGACCACCCCATCAAACACTAAAGAAGAGGCCTAACCCTAACCCAAACACTATTCCTAACTAGGCTCTAACCCTAGCCTAACCCTACCCCTAGATCTACCCCTACCCCTAGCCCTAATTCTGCTGTCTCATAGTGGTCGCTCGTTACGGAAGTCCTCCTCTAAATCTAGTAGTGTTGTACTAGAATCTAGATCTAGACTCTACTCTTAGTCTAATTTAGACTCTAAGTAGGCCCAGTCAAATAGAGACTCCATACCATTTCAATTTCAGTGTCATATTATGATGTAGGACCTAGCAAGGAGTACTAGATTCTAGATCTAGATCTCTGTCTCTTTATATCTAGGGCTATATTCTAGATATCTAGATCTGGATCTAGAATCTAGTACTTTTTTGTGTGTTCCAAGTAAGACAGATCTATTGCTTCGGGCTTCGTGCTATTTTTTTGCTTGCTATGAATCTACGTGACGATCTCTAAGAAGTAAGCAAGCAGACACTTCATTTAGGAAATTTAAAGTCAAAATCATCTAGATTTCTATGTCATTTGAGGAATCACCAGTAAAGCTAATAAATATACATAACAGTATGTTAGGAAACGTAGAAATTCATATTGCAGAGCAACTAGATATCTATTACTGAACTAAATCTGAAAAACTAACCTGAAAAGTGTCACAGGTGCAACTCCTCTCTACGGCAGCCATTACTACTTGCGCTAGCGGTGTTGTTTCGCCAGTTCCGACTTCCGGTACTTCCGGACCTTCGGACTCTGACCGTTCCTGCTATTTTCTCATCTTTCTGCCAGCCCGTTTATTGTATTCTTCGAAACAATTCTCACATTTTCACTATCTTTTCTTCCCCAGTCTGCGATCATCTCCATTCACACCAAGCCTTGAGCTCACCGCAAAATTATAGAGAGGATGGTAGATAGACATTGTCATTACACTTGCGTAGACCCGTTAGCGTTTACAGTCAAAGGGACTTAACCACAGATATCAAGAGACATAATAGTACTGTACGGATTGTCTACTCCTGTCAATTTTACGTTATGTCGTAAAAAGTGTATGTTTTCAACCCCCATACACACACGCGCACGCGCGCGCGCGTGCATAGTCTTCTGGATGAGGGCCTCGCAGACCCCAACCGGTATATTTCAGGCATTTTTGACAAAACTTTTGGTTCGATGTTGTTTTCCTCCCAGGTATTCTTCCAGGTATTCTTCAAACACCCTTTTATAAGCATGAATACGGTCTATGAAGTTATTTGGATAATTTGGAAGACAGTGATGAATATTTTCCTTGGACACCCCCGCGAATCCTAAAGGGGGCCTCTCAGACCCCAAGCCATTTTTACTGTAATAGTAAAGGCAGTTCTCTTCCTGTCAAGTATGCAACATGATGGCAGCATCGACGCGAAGACCAGAAAAGCAGAAATCAACATCTTTTACAACAAAACAAAGGGAGGTGTGGACTCTGTAGATCAGGTGGTCCATGCATACATGTAAAAGAAGCAGACCGTGAGATGACCTCTGACCTTCTTCCGCAATCTGTTGGATGTTGCAGCTATAGCTTACATCTGATTCACTGCTAAAAATCTCCAATGGAATATCCGCAAGAAACACAGGAGAAGAATCTTCCTCGACAGGTTGGGCGATGAGCTCTGCTTGCCATTAATGCAGCGCCAGGCTGCGACTGGGAGCATCCCTAAGTCAGTTTGTACGGCATGAGCATGCTTCTCTGTGGTGTCACACCACTTACCCAAACCCAAGAAGCAAGAGAAATGGCCACTGAACATGGACAAAGAAAGAAGAAACGCTCCGAGATGCCTTGATAGTGGAAGCAGACTTTGTGTTGTTGAAGCTAGCGAGGGGATCAGAATAAGTCTGATTCCCTGTATGGACTTCTCTGTTGACATCCACCCCTTGGCGCTCATATATGATCTTATGCAGTTGCGAGCGTTGTAAAAACTCTACTAAAACAACAACAACAACAACAAAACAACTAAGAAGAAACGCTGTGGACTTTGTCAGAGAAATAAGGACAGAAAATCCGAACTGACATGCTCTGGTTGTGGGATATCAGTTTGTGGGGAACACTATTTCCAAGTGCGTTTGTCATCAGTGTCAGTAGACACTCATATTCCGAGCACTTGTCTCCTGATCTTTGGTGCCAGTATTGGTACCATACGACTCTATTTTGGCATTTCAAATGTTTCTTCACTGCCCATGCCTTGCTCTGCACGGCTTGTTTGACATTTCACGTTTCGCGTTGTTACTAAGCTTTAATTCTCTGTAGAAATGATTATAATCATCATTATTATTTTTATGCCATTGGGCTCTTACTCTTTGTCATTATAATCATCATCAAAGTGTCGTTGTCTTCATCATCATAAATATCATGTACCGAAATTAAGTCTTCTTGGGTATTTTCATGAGATTCATTTTTAACTGAAAAACAATCACATCGTCATTTAAATTCAACCTCATTATTCAGCAATAACAACAGCATGTTCATGACATGACCAACCCACAATCATTAGACAAAAAGAGCCAGAATTGCATTGATTTCAGTCTAACCTCATTCAACTTTGTTCAAAAACAAATATATGGTATATAAAGTTAAATAAATTTGTTAATTTTTAGACCCTAGTTCACCCCCTGGGGCAGTGCCACTGACTAAAGTGTCTTCAGGCGATTCCCAAAGG